AGTCAGATGCTTAGCTGACTGAGCCACTCAAGCTCCCTGAGTCATGAAAATCTTGAAGGTTGTACCGTAGTGATTTCTGATGTATTTTTAAATAACTTAGATTTTTGAAACATTTTATTTTATAATGAGAGCAAAATGGTGACATTATTTAAAATTTTGGAGAAAATACAGCAAAACAGAAAAATAGTCCCACTATGAAATAAGGACTATAAACTTCTTCATATCATTATTTCTCTGTATAATTATAATGTTTATATATACATATTGTTATGTATACATATATATTTACAATAAAGTTTTTGAAAGTGTAAGTTTTCAAAATTTAACTAAGTATTCTTTGACTATAATTGAGCAGTCTGATTTTTGCCTCTCAGCTGAGGTGTCTAGATGTAGTCAGAAGTAGTTTAACAAAACACTGTGACACCATAGATAATTTAGTGGCACTTCCTTTCCCTCATGACTTATGGTTAACATAGGGATGCTTTCCATATTTATGGTCTTCTGTTTTTCTTTCAGCCTTGCTTTGGAACTAGACCTTCTTACCACTCTGCTGCCCCTCCACATCCCACCTAACACAAATGACAAATCCCAGTAGTCAACCCTCATCAGTGAATATTAATCTTTATCAAAACTTTTCCTAGGATGGGGTGCCTGGGAGGCTCAGCAGATGGGGTTTTTTTTTTTTAATAGACAGTAAACTCTTTTTTAAAAAAATAACCTAATAGCACAAAAGCAAAAAATTGGCCATGCTATGGACAAGCTGCTTCTCCTCTGCCTCCTTCTCCTCTGCCCTTTCCACGCTCTCTGTCTCAAAATAAGTAAATAAATAAATATTTTTTTAAAAAGGGGGGCGCCTAAGTGGGTCAGTTGGTTAAGTGTCGGACTCTTGGTTTAGTCACAGGTCAGGATCTCAACGTTCATGGTTTGGAGACCTGCATCAGGCTCTGTGCTAACAGCATGAAGCCTGCTTAGGGTTCTCTCTCTTTCCCTCTCTCTCTCAGGCCCTTCTCTGCTCTCTCTAAGTAAATAAATGAACATTTAAAAATGTGAGACTGTTAACCCAGAATATATAGTATTCCTTCTGGGAATCTTTAAGTACATTAAAATGGAGCAACATTCAGGATTTAAAAAAAAAATAACCAAAATACCAAGTCAGAAGAAGCATTTGGCAGGGTCCAAAACCTCTCAAATGTCACAACCTTCTATAGTCTCTAGTTGAGTAGATATCATTATATATGTGCGAAAAAGTAGATGTAATTATTCAAATATTGAATTGATGGATTTATTGTTTTATTTAATTCTGGGGAAAAACTATGTCCTTTGTGAGCTAGGGAGCTTTAAGTAGTGGTAAATCTCATCTAAACAAAAGAAATAGGGCAGAAAAGTAGGAGGAACTCATGAAATTTTATTTATTTATCAAGTCCATATTGGAGACATACAATGTCTCATGCATTGGGCTAGGTACTGGGAATTTGGAAATAAAAGGTACAGTCTTAGTTTTCAAGAGTGATTACTGCAAAAAAAGTTCTGGGAAAGAAGAATGCTCCAAGTCCTAGGAAATGTCGAGTCCACCAGGACAAAGTGGCCACATGCTTTGGTAGAGAGCAGCAATGTCAGTCAAGTCTTCCCAGAGGAATGTGCTTGAGGTGTATCTTTCAGAAAGTAGGCCACCAAAGAAAGGAATGGTCTTTCAGGCAAAGGAAGCAGTAGTGGTGATAAAGAGCCTGGCATAGTTGAGAAAGCATAGGTATTGAGGTATCACTGGAACTTAGATTCATCTAGGGTGTTGATTGGTTAGGGCTGAAAGATGAGGCTGGAGAAGAAGGCAGATGGTGGATCATTAGAGCATATTTAAGTACATGCTCGGAAAACAGGAAGTCTCTGAACTACATGACCCAAAATAACTGTTGAAACATTGCCTGCAGATAGACTAGAGACTTGAGGTGATTAGGATATGGTGTGAGATGTTGAGGGTTTGAACAAAGAATAGACATACGGGTGGTTTCCAAAGATATTTAAGAAATGGAATCAATGTCACTTCAAAACTGATTAGATGCTATTGGTAAATAAGAGGTCTAGGTGAGCCCCAAATGTTTAGCTTAGACAAGTACATGGCTTTTACTGCCAAATATCAATATAAAAAATACTGATAGAGGTGGTAAATGATGAGTCCAGGGTTGAATATTTTAGCTGTGAGATGCCTCTGGGCATTCCAGAACTCTGGAAGAAGAGCCACAGGGCCTTCAGCATAGGATTGTAAACCCGTATAAGTGCAGCAACGGGCATTCACCAATGTGAACGTGCAGCAGGAGTGAGAGGAGGCAGAGAGCAGAGAACGGGGTTAACAAAGGGAAGTAAGTGCAGCCAGAGAGCTAGGAGAAGTGTCAGAAATGCATGGTGATATGGAAACCAAAAAAGAAAATTTGGAGAAGTCAATAGTGTCAACATTGCAAAGAAAGAAAGATCAGAAAATGAGAGAGGTCATTTTATTAAGTGGAAATATACTCAGAGTATGCCCCAAGAAGTCCCATGGAGAGCTACAAAGTGAAGGGCCTTCCCTCATCTACATTAAGAGGCTGGAACCTAGAGCCCAGAATTAACTGGGTAAGGGTGTTTCGTCTGCCTCTCGGCTGCCTGGCAAGCTGTGCCTTTAGAAGCTCCTTCTGGTTCCTGGTGTCCGCCTACCTATCTCTCCTGCCCACTGGAGAAGAGGGGAGGTGCAGGGTGGCAGGGAATCTGAGCTCAAAACGCTTCAAATGTTTCTTATTGAATAACCTGCAACGTTAGGAAACGTGCATCAGACCTGACTGATTAATATCTCAGAAGAGATGCTATTCACTTACATGTTATTAGCCCTCACAGTAACTTGGGCATGATTTAGGGAAGCAAGTTTCTGCGCAGGAATATAGTTATCTCGGAGAATAATGACCCGCAGCATCCAGACTTTAATGAGAGATTAAGTCATTGTGAAGAAATGATCAAGCAAATGGACATGTAATGAAGATCTAAGGATTTTTCTTATAGAAAAGAAAAACAATCATGAGTGGACAAGGCTTCTGTTGAAAATTGTGCAGATTTTTTAGTGCTTATAATGCACTAATGGGGAATGTATCATAGTAACTATATATGCTAGGGTTAAGATTCTAAGCAAAGCTTCCTGGGCAAGCTGATGACACAATATACTTTGGGGTACAATAGGAGTATATGCAAAGATATGGCAAAAATGGATGTAAGTACCATATGTACAGACATAAGTTTGTGAATCCAGGTTATAGGATCCAAAAGAATGAGAAACTAATAAGAAACTATTAGCATAGATATCATGTAAAGTTCCCATTCCTCTTTCCTGACTTTTTTCCTCAAAAAGAAAAAAGACACCTTTCCATTTTTTCAAAATAAAAAAATAAGTTGACTTCAGTAAAAGCCATGGTTGACATTGAAGCAACCAATGCAAGAAAAATCAACTAGTAGTTAAGTGTTTTAATTGGTATTTCCCCCCTCTGTTCCCTGATTCTGTTATGCCTGTTCACTCTAGCACTGAGACTCAATCCTCTTTTCTTTCAAATAGCAAGTTATTTCTATGTCAAATAAAGAAAAGGTAAAATTTATTTTCCAAAGACTGAACAATTATATTTCCTATACAGCAGCATAGTTTATTTAATATATGAGTTTTGTCAAAAAGTAATATAAGTATTGGGGCACATGGGTGGCTCAGTCAGGTAAGTGACCAATTCTTGATTTTGGCTCAGGTCATGATCTCATGATTTGTGGCTTCAAGCCCACATTGGGCTTGAATTCTCTCTTTCCCTCTCTCTGACCCTCCCCAACTTGCTCTCTCTCAGTCTCTCTCTCAAATTAAATAAATAAACTTTAAAAAAATGTGATATATGGGCACCTGGCTCAGTTGGTTCAGTGACTGGCTCTTGACTTCAGCTCAGGTCATGATCTCCCTGTTCTTGAGTTTGAACAATGCATTGGGCTCTGTGCTGACAGCATGGACCCTGGTTGGGATTCTGTCTCCTTCTCCCTCTCTCTGCCCCTTTTTGCTCTCTCTCTGTCTCTTGTTCAAAATAACTAAACTTTTAAAAAGCAATACAAATATGTTATATAGTAATATAAAAAGTCAATATAAAATATATTATATATACAAAAATAAAGGAAAAGGAACTATTAATCTACCACCATAAGACAATAACCAGTTTTAGAATATTTGTGAATTTATATCTATATCATTTGATGTATGTATTACATAGTTGTAAGTACAATAGTTTTCACTCAGCATTTTCTATGCTAGTACTATTCTTCATCTTGTTTTACCGATATACAGTAGTCCCCCCCTCGATCCTTGGGGGATACATTCCAAGACCATGAATGCCTGATACCATATTGAACCCTATATCTACCATATTATTTTCCTATACATACATACATAAAGTTTCATTTATAAATTAGGCACAGGAAGAGATTAACAACAATAATAAAGTAAAACAGTTACTTTATGTGGCTGTTTTGGTCTCTCTCTGAAAATATCTTATTATATAGGCATACTGTGAAGATATTTCGGGTTCAGTTCCAGATCACCGCAATACAGCAACTATTGCAATAAATGGAGTCAAATGAACTTTTTGGTTTCCTAGTGCATATAAAAATTATGTTTATATGCTAGTCTATTAAGTGTGCAATAGCATTATGCCTAAAAAATGTACATACCTTAATGAAACAATACTTTATTGCTAGAAAATGCTAACTGCCATCTGAGCTAACCGTCACTGATCACAGATCACCATAACAAACATAACAATAATGACAAAGTTTGAAACTTTTAAGAGAATTACCAAAATGTGATACAGAGAAAATTGTGAGGAAATGCTTTTGAAAAAATAGCACTGACAGACTTGCTCAACCCAGGGTTGCCACAAATTTCCAGTTTATAAAAAAACTCAGTATTTGCAAAGCACAATAAAGCAAAGCACAATAAAATGAGATATGCCTGTACTCACTGTTCTTCTTGTGATTATGTGAGACAATAAAATGTCTACGTGATGAGATGAAGTGAGGTGAATGACCCAGGCATGTGACGAAGAAGGAAGATCATCTGCTTCCGGCAGTGGTTGACTGCAGGTAACTCAGACTGTGGAAAGCAAAATCGTGGATAATGGAGGGACTATTGTACTCTATTTTGCTTAACCTGTCCCTTTTGTTAGAATGCTTGTAATTCTTTGTTATCATAAATACCTTTATGATAAACATCTTTGTAAATTTTCTCCATATTTAGAATTACATCCTCCCTAGAATGGATTCCCCCCAAGAAATGAACAATATGACCATTTTTCATGGCCATTGGCACACTACATGATACATCAATGGCCTTTGACCTAGGTGATATTTATGTCTCCTCCCCCTCTCTCACACTTCAATGCACAGCACTCCTCCCCACCCTTGAATGATATCGGTGTCTATCTTCTACATTCCTTCAATGTTATGACAATTCATGAGGACTGTAGGTCTGGTGAAAGTTTGCTAAGGCATTTTTTATCGAATATTTTGTACATCTATAATTAAAAATGTTTAACAGATTGTATTACTAATTGAGCAGTGTAACCAAGGACAAGTGAGGTTCACATTTCTGCAGCGGTTCAGAAAATATCCACTTAGCAAACACATTAGTTCAATATTTCCAAAACTTTAGCCACCTTCACAATTTTTACCATATCTGCTACTACCTATAAGAGTATTTATTTACTTGTTTTTTTTTTTTTTTTTTTTTTTATTTACTTGTTTTCTTAAAATCAGTAGTAAACAGTTCACTTTCTTTTTACTTAGCATCCTCTTGAGCAATAATATCTATGAAGTCATAAATTTTATGAGCTAATTATGTTTTTGATTCACATTAAACTAAGCATGTAACTCAAATTTTCAAAGACAGATGCTATCTAAAATCAGTAGTTTGTACACCATACTTTGAAAAAAAACTGTATTACTATATAACTAATGTTAAAGCTAAAATCATGTTTTCCTCTTCTTTAGACATAGGAGAACAATAGCACCAGATAATATTCTTTCTTTTAAATTAGTCTATCTCAGAGAACTCTATAGACAGAGCAAATTACAACATCAGTGTCAAAAATAGATGTCACTGTCAATAACAAGAAACAAAGACTCTACCATATAGAGAGCCAACAAATAACAATAACAAAAATACGGAATGAGTTTACATCAAAGGTTGAATGCACATTCCTATTAAAGTTCTTCAAACCATAGATGCTTAACATTTCAAGAAAACACGGGTGCCTGGGTGGTTCAGTCTGTTAAACGGCCTACTTCGGCTCAGGTCATGATCTCGCAGTTGGTGAGTTTGGGTCCAACATCAAGTCCAGCATCTGCACTGAGAGCACAGAGCCTACTTGGATCCTCTGTCCCCCTCTCTGTCTGTACGTCTCCAATGTGTGCACACACGTGCACTCTCTTTCTCTCTCAAAAATAAATATTTAAAACATGTTCAGGAAAGCATTGTCAATGAGCATTTTATGCTAAAAAGCCATCATCATTTGAAATAGATTAAGGGACAGTAAAAGTAGTATGTGTATTGTGTTCAGGGAAAGGGGTCACTGAACTTCTCTTGGAATGGGAGGAACCATGGAGTTTCAGAAATAGTTTGAAATGGATATGTACATTCTTACGGAAAATTCCAGGTTCTAAACTCAAACTTGGATCACATAGGACATAAGGGGAATTGTTACAGCTTAATATGTCAAGTGTGCTCATTACACAGTATTATGTTATGTGAGATTTTATAACATTCATCATGATTTACATAAGGCTTTAATATATATGTATGTATATATATATATATAAATTTAAAACTTATATATATATGTTTAAAGTAATTATTGGCTCTTTACTTGAAAGTAGCCTTACTTAAACTTAAGTTTATTTATATATTAAGTCCTTACTTAAACTTAGATATATAATTAAACATATATATGTTTATATATAATATATTTATATATATATACAATATATATTATATACATACAAAAGTTTAAAGTAATTACTGGCTCCTTACTTGAAAGAAATCTGTTCAAAGCCCTTTCCCTTGCCAAGTTTACAGACAAAACTCACAGGTGTTTATACTTGGTGCTAACTCTTTGTTTTTCCAGATTACGGTACCTTGAATTCTCAGAAAATAGACCTCAACTACAAAACATATTCTTCTCTAGCCTGACCACAACTCACACCCCAGATGAGCCCTGGACAGAGAAACCTATCACCTCCTGCTCTAACTGGCCAAGACTTGTCCCCCTCCCCATAACCCCCCCCCCCGCACCTGCAGTTGTCTTGGGCTTAGCTGCAACCCACTCACAACCTTCAAAACCCTATAAAAGGCCTAGCCTAACAGAAACTTGGCCAACATCTCTCTTGATGTTAGGCCCTTCTCTTCCTTTGGAGAATGAATACACTCTGTCCTGCTTGATGCTCTACCCTTTGTGCAAGTCTTTACCATCCCTGTCACCGGCACCCTAACATTACTCATGCCAGTGGAGGATATTATAAAATTCTGGTGTCTTGTTGGGAAAGAACTTGAAGGACTGATTCAACTCAGATTCAAAAGATACTTAAAGTGGAGAGTGAATTATTGACAGAACAATTTTAAGTATTTTGTTTCTCTTGAGACTGCAGGTTGACAGAGTTCAGAAGGAGGAGGTGGAAAGAGAGAAGTAAATTATTTTAGTCAGTGGATATAAAGACCGACTTGGCATTTGTTTAGGTCTGGTGTGCCTCTCAGGTGGCAAGTTACCATACACATACTCCTATCCAAAATCGTGCTCTCTGTACAGATATGTAATCTGCTGACACACCATCGAGACAGGGGCACATGGCTCTGTGGTGCAATCATACTAATGGTCTATATAGTTCAATTGTATTTGAGGTCAAGGAGGAAAGAGGAGAAACAAAAGAATGTGAAGACTATGCTGAAAGCATCATATATAGGCTTGAACAGCAACAGTGATTATGTATAAAGAATTTAAAATGTTCTTAACAATGAGGTATCAACAAACCAAAAGCAGATATTGTTTCTCATAAGAGTACTAGCTGCACTAAGTAAAAAGAAAAGAAAAGGCAGAGGGAGATAGCAAATATTAAAGGTGCCATTATGTTGTGACATAAATACCCTACTTTCTGACCCTGACTCTGCACTCTCATCCACCTAGAAGTCCCAAACTATTCTTTAAGTTTATTTATTTATTTGAAAGAGAGAGAGAGAACACCTGCACATGAATGTGAAAATGGGGGAAGGGAAGAGAGAGAGAGGATCCCAAACAGGCTCCACACCATCAGCGCAGAGCCCAATTTGCAGTCTGAACCCATGTGAGATCATAACCTGAGCCCAAGTCAGATGCTTAACTAACTGAGCCACCCAGATGTCCCAGATTCAAACTATTCTAAAGGTCAAAATTTGTGGCTTTCCAAAGTAGTCTAGAGCCCTAATTTCAAAGGATAAAATTTGTCAATGAAAGAATTCTTGAATAAAACATAAAGGAATTTAATTTTAACATTTATTTATTTATTTATTTATTTATTTATTTATTTATTTATTTTTAGAAAGAGAGAGAATGGGGGAGGGTCAGAGAGGGAGACAGAGGATCTGAAGCAGGGCTCAAACCCATGAACCATGAGATAATGACCTGAGCAGAGATCAAGAGTTGACCACTTGGGGTGCCTGGGTGGCTCAGTTGCTTAAGCGTCCAGCTTTGGCTCAGGTCACAATCTCACAGTTCGTGGGTTTGAGCCCCGTGTCGGGCTCTGTACTGACAGCTCAGAGCCTAGAGCCTGTTTCAGATTCTGTATCTCCCTCTCTCTCTGACCCTTCCCTGCTCACGCTGTCTCTCCCTCTCCCTCTCTCAAAAATAAAAAAAAAAAAAAAAAAAAAAAAAAAAAAAAAAAAAAGAGTTGACCACTTAACCAACTGAGCCACCCAGGCATCCCAGAATTTAATTTTTCTGGATGTTTTCTGTCTGCATGATGCTTCACCACTCCCGGAATTCCTGTCAATTGTTCCCATATGAAAAGAGTAATTCTCCACTCTTATCTATTTTCCCGGCAAAATCACTGAGGTCATCCTACGAGTGATGGTTTCTGTTATGACTGCCTATGTTCTCCAGGCAAAAGTCCCAGGGTTGGTTTTTCACGTAAGTAATTCCATTTCTTTAATGCCGTAATCAAACATCTCTATTCAGTGACAAAGCCAGAACTTCAGTAGCAAGCTCTCTGATGTCTGGACTTTGTTACTAAAACCTTCTAAAAACAACAAACAAACAAACAAACAAAACAGGTTCCTTTTCTCCTTTCCCTTGTAGTCTGAATTTACTGTTCCCTCCCCTTCTCAACCCTTACCCCCTCTGTGTGGTGCTTTTAGGATTGCAAATATTCTTAGAGCTCTCAAGGTATTTAAATGTAGACAGGGCCAGGAAGTAGAAAGAGTCTAAAACAATACCTCCTTATACATTATGCCATCTTTTGTACCCACATCTACTGTGCTTTGTCATTTAAAGGCTTATACTTACCTTTGTCTTGAAGAAGATAAAACACTTTTAAGACCAGCAACTCTCTGAAAAAGGTTAATTTTAGCACAATTTCCTTGAAATACACTGTTTCTCATAAACAGCGTCGGTTTCAGGAAGTAGAAATTTAAAGGAAAACAAACTCTGTCACTGCGTCTAAATATGATTGTGTAATTCATCTCTGGGATTTTCAGCAGTTTTGCATGATAAGACACACCCCTTTAGGAATTACTTTGGTGAAAGGTATTCTGGGAGTTGTATTACTACAGGGAAGTTCCTTCTTTTAAACAAAGTGCAAGGAAACTTCCTATTTGGACTAAGTCAGAACAGAGAGTCAGTCCTCTAAGAACCAAGGAAAGAGAATGTCAGTGAGAAACAATGAATATGACATTGCTTTTGATCTATTATAAACAGACAAACTCATGTTAGGGCTCCATATTTCAACAGTACTAAACGATGCAGAGAAATGATGAAGGATGAGGTCAGAAAGGTGTCCATTGGCTTGGCAAATAGGTCAAAAATTTTAATTTTTTGAAATTGATTTTAAAAATCAATGAAGAAGCACTAACAAATAAAATTTAAATACTTAAATGTAATATTAAAGAAAGGGTAAGGTTTTTGGGTTTTGTTTTCTTTTTTACTAAAAATTACACCAGTGAGGAATACTATATGCCAAAAGTTTAGATTCAACAAGGGAAAGATGAAGTTACCTGATTTGGAAGATATGTGACCAGCAGAAATAACACACTCCCCAAATTGGCCTTTCTTTTCCTGCTGACATAGCCTGTAGCTCTTATATTGGGTTCTTAGGATCAGGATTTACTGTGTACTCTCATAATCCACAGGGGTCCTCTAACAGAAAAACTTATTAGTGTTCTATTGTTACATAAAAAATTACCCACAAATTTAGCAGTTTAATACAGCACCCATTAAGTTATCTGTTCTATAGACCAAATGTAAAATATTTGTAAATGAAGATGCATTTTAAATGTATATAAACGGTAGGGTATCTGGGTAGATTAGTCGGTTGAATGTCTGACTCTTGATTTGGCTCAGATCACAATCCCAGGGTCATGAGATGGAGCTCTGTGTTGGGCTCTCTCCTGAGTGTGGAGTCTGCTTAAGATTTTTTCTCTCTGTCTCTGTCTCTCTCCCTGTGCCTCTCTCCCAGGCTCACACATGTATTCTCTCTCTTTCTTAAAATAATAAAGCAAAACAAAACAAAACAAAATAAACAAATGTCTACGGGTGCCAGGGTGGCTCAATTGGTTAAGCATCTGATTTCAGCTCAGGTGATGATCTTGGAGTCTGCGGGTTTGAGCCCCATGTCGGGCTCTGTGCTGACAGCTCAGAGCCTGGAGCATGCTTCAGATTCTGTGTTTCCTTCTCTCTCTGCCCCTTCCCTGCTCATAGTCTGTCTCTCTCTCTCAAAAATAAACATTAAAAAAACAATAAACATTAAAAAATGTCCATAAATGATATCATAATTAGAACATATGATACACAAAAACAAGCAAAAAAAAAAAAAAAAACCCAGCACCCATTTATTATTTCTGTTTCCGTCAGTCAGAAGTCTGGGCACATTATCATTGAGAATGCTGCAGATCTAATCTGATGCTTGGGGTCTCCTTCAAGGTTCAGATTGTTGGTAGAATTCTACTTGTAGGACTCAGGTCCCATTTCCTTGCTAGCTGTTGGCTGGGGACCACTCTTACCTCCTAGATACAACCTGTAGTTCCTTGCCACATGGTCTCCATAGGCAGTTCCTGGCATGGATATTTGCTTCTAGGCATGTATCTCTGACCTCTGAAGTGCTCCATCCCTTTTAAGGATTCATGTGATTATGTCCAGCCCAGCTAGATAATTTTCCTTTGGATTAACTCAAATATAACTGATTAGAAACCTAGTCATTGGAGTAGCCCATCATATTCACAGGTTCTGCCCACGCTCCAGGGGAGGAGGTTATATAAGTTGTGTATGCCAGTGAGTGCGAATCTTGGGGGCTGAGAATTCTGCTTTACCACAGAACTTTCCCACAAATTGCTCCAGGGAGGGGCAGAACAGGTAGTCCTAAACAGGCCAATTCCTCCTCCTCCTCCACCCTCAGGTGCCCTGACTTTGTGGGCTCTAATTTTCACCCCACCATATGACCACTCTCTTGGGAGTCTGAATTCTACTGCAGTCCTCCACGTTATGAGAAATATTGAGGCATTAGAACATTGGATCGGTCTCTTGGGAGCCTTCTCTTACTTGGCTCTTCTTTAAAAAGCTGGGGGGGGGGGGGTTGTTGTTTTTGTTTTTTTGTTTTTGCTTTTTTTTTTTTTTGGTGTGTAACCACAATCATGCAAATGAGACAAAATCCAAACACTATGAAAAAGTGCACAATGAAAAATGTCTCCTCATATGGACCTTCTGCCTTCTCTCTCCCAAATTCTTTTTCTCAGATTAATCAGTACTACCAATTCTATTTCTTGCATTTCTTTGTGGATAGTGCATGCATTTACAGACAGGTTTTTCTACAAATGGCAACATTTTTGTTCAGCACTTAGGCTTTTCTGTTACAGTGTATCTGACAGATCTCCACACATAAATCTAAGTGGCTTATTTTAGTTGTAGTCACTTGATTCCAGGAAAAGGGAGGAGGAAGAGAAGTCCACGCTAGCTTTCCTTTGTTCCAATCCCAGCACTTTGGGCTTCTTCTGCTTGTCTTCCATTCAGAGACTAACGAAAAAAGAGTTCAGTGAGATATCTCAGGTAATTCGGAGTATTTTCAAAGGCTGATAGAAGCCGTGAAGTGGGGCACTCCTGAACGGAGTTACCCCAAATCTGAGCATCTGAGCTTGGGAGTAGAGAATTAGATGAGTGTGTATGCAAGGGGTTTAGAGTGCACTGAACAGAAGGTGGGTATCATATAACCCAGTTCCCAGCAAGCAACACAAACAAGCAACGCTTTTCTTTCCTTATAAGGTGTGATTGTATTACCATAAATTAGCTTCCTCTAGTTTTTATTTTAAGCGAAATACAATAGGCTTTCAGGTACATCCGCTTAACTAAGGGGTAGTGAAAGTATCTAAAGACTATTTTTTAATATTGTTTTCATGGAAAAATAGGCCATGGGCATTATATGTTATTTTCACGTTAAATGATTCATCACTGATAATTCAAACAGTAAATCCCTCTTTATTTTGTATTGACAACATACCTGCCTTACTGTTTTCTTCTGTTTTGCCTTGATAAACAATTCCAGCCTGACTTTTGGGGTTTCCGTTTCTCTCAAGGGTTCCTCTTAATCTCCTCCTCAGTGGGTAGCCTAGGAATACTTAAAGGGAACAGAAAAACGAAATAATATTCAGCACTGTAAATTTTAGCAATTGTTGCATTTTCTTTACTAGTGTTATTAATAACACCTACCACACTAGTCTTTTTCAGCCTTCACAGCATTTTCAAGTCTTCTTAACTTTAAAGAGTGAAGATCAGAAACTCCAATTCTGATAAAATATCTTACTGTACAGGTTTATTGGTACAGTAAAATTGTGTATCTTACCTTTCACATGCTCTAATGTTCTTCCCCTGAAAGAAGATACTCTGGCTATCTCCACTTCAGAGAAGAAATCATAAATGTTGATGATTAACGAACAAAACCGTGGACTTACGGGAATTGGCCACATCTGTAGTTGTACATTTCCTTCCCAGGGCTTGTGGTTCCTGATTATACCTAACTGACTCTGAGAGGTCAGCACTTAACCCCTCTCACAGAACCTCTTTATCAGATGGGGAAGCTCCCCATCAATGTCATTTTATTCCAGTGAAACTGACCTGAGAAGGAGCAACTCTCCTGCAAGCCAAGGACAGAATCCAAACAAGAGGAGCGTCTTCCGTCGGACGCCTACCCGAATTGATGGATAGATTCCCAGGCTCTGAAGTAAGTGGGCCACTTTGACCTGTCACTGCAAGCCCTGTCCTCCCTTCTTCTCAGTCTTTTACTCCTTATATAGAGTCTCACTCCTACACCGTCTAGACACCTATTGTCTTCAGGTTCTCTCCACCTTTATTTAGTTCATCCCAAGCCCTCTCCCTCAGGCAAAAAGAAACTATTACCTTACTCACCCGAGGCTATAAAGGACTCATGGGAGAGTAAGTGTTTTTCATTGCATCCTGTGCCAGCCTTTACTCGTGGAAACGCAGACCTTGGACGTTGAGTGAGGGGTCCCTTTAGGTGGATGGGGAGGGAGAGGAAGCCCCTGGACCGGTCCGGTGTAAGGTGAGGGCATCACAGATAGCCGCAGGCTGATGAGAGGTCTGGGGGCAGTTTCGAATCCTGTCTGTGCTCTTGCTCAACGTGACACTTACCTGCCGGCAGGGGCGCAGTTTATTCATCTGTAGGGGGCCCTAGTCTCCCAACTGTGAGGATTAAATGAGATAATACAAGCCGTGCACCTGGCTTGTTTGGTAAATTAGTTCAACTCACCTCCTATTCCTACCCCGTCCGAGGCCAACTCTTGAGTGAGAGAGTGGCCCTTAATGTTGTTCCCTTTTCAAAATCCAGCTCACTAGCCACATCCTCTTCCGAGGGGCCGCGTGTTTCGGGAGGTGCGGCCCCCACCAGCTGACTGGGCTTCAGACTCGTCCTGGGAACTCCGAAAAGGGGTGAGGAGGCTGGGCTTCTGGTCTGGATCCAGCGCCAGCAGCCGCGGTCACCCGGCAGAGAAAGGAGGCGGGCGGGGCCAAGGCTGGGAAGCCGCTTCATTCCTCGGGTCTCTAGAAATGCTTAGGGGAGGCGGGTGGGGGGCCCTCCGCGCCGAGGGGGGGAGAGGAGGCGCGCGCGGGACGACCCGGACTGGCGGCGTCTGCGTCCCTCCTCCACCCCCCCCTGCTCGGCCCCGCCCCCCTCCCCCAGGAGTAGCTGCGGCCGGCGGGCTGGCGCCCTCTCCCAGTGTGGTTGCGGGCAGTGGGCGGTGACCGCCCCCCCATGCGAGCCGCCGCGGGGCGGCCTCCGTTAGTCTCCTGCGGAGCCGGGAAAGCGAAGCCGCTCCGGGACGGTCTCTGACTCTCGGGCCCCAAGGTACCTGGCGGGCTGTAGGCTGGGGGTGATGTGGGGACTCTGCCTTGTCTGCTTGTCGCCCCAAGAGGGAGGCTTTGTCAAGGAGTGTTTCGGGGTGCCCTGTGGAAAGCCACACCTGCTGCTCCTGCTGGCTCAGCGTCCGGGCACGCCGAAACAATTAATTATATACGGCGTAGTCCCGGGTTTATAACACTCAGGGACGTTTATAAATGCGAGGGAGGAATAGTGAAAGGAAATACTGGAGATGGGTTTGTTTGGTTTTTTAATACTTTTCTGTGCTTTGCAAGTTTTTTTTTTTCCTCTGATCAGAAAACAAAAATGAATTTATGCGTGAACTCCCTCGGGATCCCCAGCAACCCTCTCGCTGGCGGAGCCCTTTCTGCGGGGTCCCGGGCTCCCCGGAGCTCTGAGTTCTCTGCCGAGCGTTCTTCTGAACCTGCCTTCCTTGCCTCAGTGATTCATTAGGGAAATAGAGTAATCGGCTGTTTTCTGGGACTTTCTCTAGCTTTCAGGTTGAAAGGAGGAATTTCCCAAACCGTCCGGAAGCCAGAACCGACGCTGTACCTCGTAGCGGATGTCCACAGCCTCCAGATTTGGAGGTGGAGTCTGCACATTTGATTGGGTACAGATTTAAGTAGGCAGAGTGGCAAAAACAAGACCCTGTTTCTGAAAAGTCTTTTTTTTTTTTAAGGTTTTTCTCGTGCTCTTTTGCTTTTCACGACTCCTTTTATCACTTTTTTAAGGTTTTTTTCTCTTGCTTTTTGCTTTTCACGACTCCACTTTAGTAGGAATTGATTCTGCTGAAGAGTATTGTTCACAGATGCCCTCAGAGCCACCCTCTGGGGCGATGACCGGAAGGAGGTTTGGCGGGAGGATTACTGTGTCTTTTGCTGTGCTCTAAGTTTCTCTTCCTTTTTATTAATAAGCTTAGTGTCGGTTGTTGGTCAGGGAGACAGCCTTTGATAAAAGGCTACTTGCAACAAGGCGAAGACACTTTTTCTTGAGATTATCAATAGTCCCATTGAGCTGAAGAGGGATGAAAGTAAAAATTTAAGAAGGACACCTTCCTTAACACATTGCCTAGAGCAAACTCCATTATTTCGGTAGATCTTACCCTAAGAAACAAACTCTTAAAGCATGAGAATCCTCTTGGCATGCATGACCACCCAGGGACACCAAATTTTCTGTTAAACTGCTTGGACACCTGGCTCCTCCTTTAAGCAAAAATATCTGTCTTTTTGTTCATAACAGTTGAGGTCCAAATAGCCTTTTACAAGGTTGAGGGTATGTCTCTTTACTGGCTTTGCCCAGTTCTTGGAGTGGTAGTTGGTGGTGGTGGTGGTGGTGGTGGGTGTGTGTAGGAGAGAAAGAGAAAAAGAGAGAGGGAGAGAGAGAGAGGTGGAGGGGTTGGGAGTGTAAGCAGGGGTGGAGAGCATGTATTTTGCACATAGCACCTCTAACATATCTACCCTCATTTCCTCTGAGAGGAGTCAGAAGCCAGCCGCAGAGTCTAACCTTTCTCATGCCAGCTGTCAGACTCCCTGGAAGTGTGTACTTCCTGGTGTCTAGTAAAGGAGAGGTTCACTCTTCTGATACTCAAGAATGGAGCACCCATGCCTTCTGCATTATGCTTTCTGTGATAGAGTTCTTGATGCCAGGGCTCATTTTCATTTCTATTTATCTACTGTAGTTCACTTGTGAATACGGATACTGTGTTGTTTCAGACATCATCCTAGGGTTTTACAACTTTTCTTTCTTTCTTTCTTTTTTTTTTTTTTTAAAGTAAGCCCTACACCCAACTTGGAGCTTGAACTCATGAGCCTGAGATCAGGAATCAATACCAACTGAGCTAGCCAGGCAAACTCTTTTTTTTTTTTTTACAACTTTTTGATGTCAGATATCACAATTTACCACTTTAATACTTAGGTAATCTCCACCTCCAAAAACTCAAGTGGTTTGTAATTTTGTAAAGAAAATATTTGTTAAATGTTTGATTAGATATAGGTGCTCACCACGTACAATTTCAAAGATATACAGTGTGCAGTGAAGTCTCCTTTCCACTCCTGACCTCTGTTTTCCTCTCCAAAGGTAACTTCTGTTACTACTATATAAGCTCATTGTTCTTCTGTCTTTGATAATTTACCTCAAACATTTCAAAAGCTGCTTTTGACCATTTGCATAGTAGTGTTTTGTTTTTTTTTAAAGATCCACCAATTTTAGTTTATTTTAGTTTTTTTGTTAGTTTCAGTCTTTCTGGTCTTACTGACAAGTCGGAAATGTGACAGATTCAGGCAGCTTTGTGGAGGGAACTTGCAGCTCTAGAAATTAACAAATAGATTACTTTCTAATTTCCTTGACATCAGAGACCATGATATTGGAGCTCCCCAAAAAACCTGCCACAATCACTGGTGAGTACGGGGTCCATGCTAATGTCTATTCGTGCAGACTTAAGGATAACTAGTATTCATGGTAACCTGCTGCTTCAGAGCCTCTTCCTTTTATGAGGCTCCGGTAGAGTGTATTTGCCTCCCCAACACTATATTCTAGATTGGTGTCTTGCTGGTTTTTGAACATTTCCATGGTCCCCCCTCTCTATAGGTTACTGTGGAGTAAATGGTAACAGGGAGCAGTATTTGTAGTGGGTAAGAGAGGGTGTATTTCTGTTCTGTTTGAATCCTCCCTTTGATAGTGGCTTTGAGACCTGGCCTACTTAACTAAAGCCTCTGAGACTTAGCTCCCTCTATGTGAAGCAGTGATTCATAGGGTTATTTGGAAGAGAAGACAATATGTGTAAATGGCTAGCAGTGTACCTGGCACATGAAGGGCATATACACTAAGTAGTAACCCTATTAACTGTCAGGGTTTGTAGTCGCTTCATACCTTCATTAGGTAGGTGAACACACTTCAGCCCAGATGACTTAAAGGAGGTTTGATTTTGTGCTCACATTCCATGTCCTTTTTGGCTCTATCTTTGGCCTTTGCCTCTGGGATGGAGGCTGAGCTGCTTCTGGGGTCTGCTGATGTGACAGAGGCAAAGAAGCCTGGTGGAACTACATAGTGCCTTTTAAAGCTTCTCCTTGGAAATAAGCTTCTATGTCATTTCCATTCATGGTTCATTGACATGGCTGTCAATGGAGTGGGAAGTATCATCTTTCTAAAGGAGTAGAACCAGTAGGGATTGGCCTGATAGGGAGGAGCAGCAAATATTTGACATTAGGATAGTCTACCTCAGCATTTGTTGGAGGGTCACAGTTGTGATGCCTGAGAATTGATGTACACCAAGACACTTGTAGCCACTGATTTGGTAAACCGGAATGCTGGTATTTCCCCCCTTGCAGTGGATAATAGATCTATCCTGAGTACTAAGAATAAGAGCATGTATGAGGCAAAACTTTCAGATTTGCTCAAAAGAACAAATTCTAAGTTCATAGATTATATAAAGAACACAAAAGAAGGGCACCTGGGTGGCTCAGTCAGTAGAGCATCTGCCTCTTGATTTCAGCTCAGGTCATGATCCCAGGTCATGGGATCAAGCCCCACATCAGGCTCCACACTGAGAATGGAGCCTGCCTAAGATCTTCACTCTCTCTGTCCCTCTCCCCAACTTGTGTGCGCACGCTCTCTAAAATAACCACCCCCCCCCACACCAAAGTTTGGGTGTCACCAAAAGATTATATCCATGGCTTTGAATCCATTTCTCCTTTTGGAACTGTTATTGTCTAAAGTCTGAGAATGAACTAGAATGAAGGCAATGTATCCTAGACAAGGCTGAGATCATGGACAGATTCCTCCTTTTCCTTTTAGCTCTTTTGTTGTTAACAGCTCATTCTTTTCTTGTCAACAACTAATTGCATCATCTAATGATTTGTTATAATTATTCTTTTTAATGCAGTCTGCTTCTTGAATAATGAGACTTAATTATTGTAATTAAAGTATCTTCAAATCACAGTGTAGGATCGGTTAACCAATTCTGCCCATTGTTGGTTATTTCCTGCTACCTTGGTTTCATAGAAATTTTTACCATCTTTGACCCATGATTTTGAGCGTTCCTCTCACTTTTTCTGCTAATAGCTGGGCATCTGTTGTCTGCTTGGTTAATGCAATATGATGTAATAATGTCCAAAAAGAATCTATTACAAAAGTAAATTTAAAATTAAAGACATATTTCCAAATCAATAAAAAAGAAAGTTTGCTTAGTTATATCATTTGTTGAAACATTGACTAAATTGAGAGTTTGATTTTTAGCATCATAGCTTTGCAAAACATGAGGAAAGATTGTATTTTAAAAGTAAATGGCAGCAAGCATATAAAGAAAAGGAAATCATTCTACAGATCAACTTCACTTAAGATTATTGATTCCCAAGCCCTAAACAGTTTCTAAGGAATGCAGGGAGTGCTCAGCATCACTCTACTGGTATAATTTTTTTTTTTTAAATTTTGAGAGAGACAGTGTGAGTGGTGGAGGGGCAGAGAGAGAGGGAGATATAATCCAAAACAGGCAAAACTGTCACATCAGCAGACCCCAGCAGCCCCAGATCCCAATGTGGGGCTCAAACTCACAAACCATGAGATCATGACCTCAGCTGAATTTGGATGCTTAACTGACTGAGCCACCCAGGTGCCGCTCTATTGGTATGAGATCGCCACACTAAGTTAAAGGAATTCTGTGTAGCCATTCAAATATAATGTATATTTATATGTGTGGATAAAGAAACAAACCACCCATTTGTATTATTAATTTAAGAATGCAAGGTCTAGGGGCGCCTGGGTGGCTCAGTCGGTTGATTGAGCATCCGACTTCGGCTCAGGTCATGATCTCAGGGTTCGTGGGTTCGAGCCCCTTATCAGGCTCTGTGCTGACAGCCAGCTCAGAGCCTGAAGCCTGTTTCAGATTCTGTATCTCCCTCTCTCTCTGACCCTCCCCTGATCACACTGTCTCTATCTCTCAGAAATAAATTTAAAAAATTTAAAAAAAAAGCAAGATCTAGAACTAAATACAGCATGTTCGTGTAAGAAAATGTTTTCTCTTATGTGTAGAAACAGGTGTTTATGTCTGAGCACACACATAGTTAAGCTTGTGTAAAGAAAATTTCTGTAAGGATAAAAGCACCTTTTACAGTGGTTGGCTCTAGAAGGGGAAGCAAAAGATTAGGGTGGAGGAAAGATACTCTTTTTAAGAAATCCTTTTTTACTGTGTCCATTTTTAAATCATGTGTATGTAATCCTTTTAAAATAAATTAGGTTTAAGATGGCAGTTCTGTGTGAGAATAATCTCTCAAAGATTTTGGTAATTAATTCTCCTATTTTGTTACACGACTTTACTGCACTGAGTATTAAAGGTACGTATTGGCAAATGTAGGTGGAGAGCACCGTGAGGCCGAGAGCTCTAGAGAGCCACCTTAACTCTTAATGGCAGTTATATTGTGGTTACTGACAGTTTGTCCAGTCATTAGGAGCCACTGACAGACATAAATAATTCCGGTATGAGTACAGACTATGATATTTAGAAGTAACTTGTGGAGATTTTTTAAAAGTATGTAATTGTCTGATTTTAAAATTATAAAATAAAATAAACTTTTATTATTTTAATTTTTAATGTTTACTTAGTTTTGAGAGACAGAGTTTGAATAGGGGAGGGGCAGAGAGAAAAGGAGACACAGAATCTGAAGCAGGCTCTGGGCTCTGTGTCAGCACAAAACCCAACATGGGGCCCGAACCCATGAACTGTGAGATCATGACCTAAGCCGAAGTCAGACGCCCAACTGACTGAGCCACCCAGGTGCCCCAAAATAAAATAAACTTTGAAAGCATTCACTATTTTTTTAAGTATAGTTGACATACAAAGTTATATTAGTTTTAGGTGTGCAACACAATGATTCAGCTTCTCTGTACTTCTGCTCACCACAAGTGTAGCTACCATCTGTTAGAATACACTATTACAGTATCATTGACTGTATTCTCTGTGCTGTGCCTGTGACTTACTCATTTCATAACTGGAAGCCTATATCTCCCTTTCCCCTTCATTCATTTTGCCCTTCCCCATACTCTCTTTCCTCAGGCAACCATCAGTTTGTTCTCCATATTTGGAGGTCTTATTCTACTTTATGTTTGTTCGTTCATTTGTTTTTAGATTCCATGGATCAGTGTAATCATATGGCATTTGTCTTTCTCAGCCTGACTTATTTAATTTAGTATAATACCTTCTGGGTTCATCCTAGTTGTTGGAGATGGCATGCTCTCATCCCTTTTTATGGCTGCATAATATTCCTCTCTCTGTGTGTGTGTGTGTGTGTGTGTGTGTGTGTGTGTGTGTGTGCGTGCATATCCTCTGAGGGTATTCAAAACAAAGGGATTATTTATTCCTGATTTTAACGTACAGCTGTCATATTTTCTCTGGGCCCAAGTCATTCTGTCTAAATGAGAAAGGAACTGAAGTTTCTTTTTGCTTCTGCCAAATCACTTTATTATCAACAAGCATTCCTTGTTATTGTCCAGCCTGTATGTATGGTCTTATTGTCAAACTAGAAATGAAATATAGAGATAGAAAAAGTAGTACACCAGATCTCATGGGGCTTGGTGAAATTTTTCACATTTGTGTTAGAAAATTGAAATTATTCTATGTATTATCTTCATCTACCTTTTTTTAAAGTTTATTTACTTATTTTGAGAGAGAGAGATAGTGCACAGAAGGGGCAGAGAGAGGGAGAGAATCCCAAGCAGGTTCTGCACTGTCAGTGTGGAGCCTGATGGGAGCTTGAACTCATGTTCCTTGAGATGGAGACCTGAACTGAAGTTAGACGTTTAACTGACTGAGCCACCCAGGTGCCTTGGTATTGTCTTCTTATTTTAAAATGTACCTTAATTTAAAATGAGCCTGGGTGGCTCATTCGGCTAAGTGTCTGACTTTGGCTCAGGTCATAATCTCACGGTTCGCGGGTTTGAGCCCTGCATCAGGCTCTGTGCTGACAGCTAGCTCAGAGGCTGGAACCTGCTTCAGATTCTGTGTCTCCCTCTCTCTCTGACCCTCCCCTGCTCACGCTGTCTCTCTCTCTCAGAAATGAATAAAACATAAAAAAAATCTAAATAAATCACCTATCAGGAGATTTTCATCAAAATGTTAGAATTAAAGATCGCAATGCCTGAAGTATAGGAGTGAACTAACGTGGCTGTTTTGATTGTTGCAGGCAGGTCAGATTCTGAGACACATCATGTCCAATTTCGAAGATGCTGACACGGAAGAGACAGTAACCTCTCTCCAGATAACTGTTTACCATCCTGGCCAGATGCAAAGTGGAGTATTCCAATCTATAAGGTTTTATAACCGAGAAAAACTTCCCTCCAGCGAAGTGGTGAAATTTGGCCGAAATTCCAACATCTGTCATTATACCTTTCAGGACAAACAGGTTTCCCGAGTTCAGTTTTCTCTGCAGCTGTTTAAAAAGTTTGATAGTTCAGTTCTCTCTTTTGAAATAAAAAATATGAGTAAGAAGACCAGTCTGCTTGTGGACAACAAGGAACTGTGCTACTTAAATAAAATAGACCTGCCTTACAGGTGCATGGTCAGATTTGGTGACTATCAGTTCCTGATTGAGAAGGAAGATGGAGAGTCATTAGAATTTTTTGAAACTCAATTCATTTTGTCTCCAAGATCACTCTTGGAAGAAAACAACTGGCCACTACAGAAGCCCATACCTGAGTATGGCCATTATCCATCCTGTTCTACCCAAGACACTTTTCCTACAGAAATCGATGAAAATGAATTGTGAACACAGAGGACTAAGAGGAGAATCATGACGGATGAAGAAATCTGTAGACGTTTTATAGATATCTCACAGTTTATAAGTATATTATTGTCATCTCTTGTCAAATTTGGTATCTCTTATTACCGTTTTGAAGTCTGTAAATTCTATTAGTCATCGATTTAGTCATCTGTTGCATTCCTAGATGTATGAAGAATTAAGTATATTTAAGTGTACCTCTGTGAGCGTTCATGTACAAAAAGTGTCCTTGGTGATGAAGGAATAATGTCCTCAAAATAGGTTGTATTATTTTTTTATGTTTGATTTTAGTGCTGTGTTTTGTAAGGAACCATCTCTTGGTTTGGTCATATTATTTCACAAGCAGCCTTTTGTTTTCAAGGTTAAGGCTACGGGCGGGGTTGTTACTGGTGGTGTAGCCTGTTGGGACTTGCAGTGCTAGAGTACTGCAGCACAGCATGATTTTTGAGCAGTGTTTTGGAGCAGTGTCTATGCATCATTGTCATTTTAATATCTGAAGCCTTATTTGAGCCATAATACCTTTTCTATGATTTCCTTTTTGTAGAGCTATAGTGTTTGTTTCCAAAAATAGTTCTTGTCTATATTCAGCATCTAAAGCCAACATTTTAGACATTTTAATGAACCATTGCTATGTTTAGAATGTTTTTTCAGTTCTTTTTACCAAATATTAAATTGACTTTTATGTACTACATACTTTTAAATTCTATGAATTCAAAATTTTAACAGCATCCATGCACATAATAAAGTTGAAGTTTAGGGGCACCTGGGTGGCTCAGTCGGTTAAGTGTCTGAATCTTGATTTCAATGCAAGTTATGACATCGGGCTCCGTGCTGATTGTGGAGCCTGTTTAAAATTCTCTCTCCCTCTCCCTTTCCCTCTGCCCCTCCCCCACATTCTCTCTCAAAAAAAAAGGTCTGAGTTTAATTCTGTAAACAGAATTTTTTATTTTTTTATACTTTTTAAAAAAACAGTTTATTGTCAAGTTGGTTTCCATATAACACACAGTCTGTAAACATTTTTTAAAATGCTTGAAATTTTTTTGAAGCTCTTTCTGAGGAAAAGAAACAACTGTTCTTTAGTCTGCTGCTGTAAGGAAGGAATGCCGTAGGCCTCAGGCAGAGGCTGTGGCCAGGGATTAAGACACCACCCTCCACCTCTCAGTGCCAGTTGGCTCCAATTCTCCATGTTCCTCACTTCACATGGTGGCACATGGCCACCAGTAGTTCCTGTGACACTACATTCTTTGGTTTCCTCTGTTCTTCTTGCATTTGCTTCTTATGACTGTTTCTCTAACCCTGACCTCTAAATATCAAGTTGGGCTTCTCTGCTTATATGCTTCCCCGCCTATATGCTTCCCCAGGGTGATCTTACCTAGTGTAATGACTTAACAACACATTTACCTACTAATGACTCCTAAACTTGTACCTTGTCCTCTTCTCCGAGCTGCAGACATAAAAGCTATCACCTTGAGATCTTCATTCAAACTTTTGATAAACACCTCCAATTTAACTTTCTAGAACAGAACTCTTAATTTCCTCCATGTTCCTAAATCTGTTCCTGCCACTACATTCATTACGTTAGAAACCAAAAAGTTACTGACAAGCAAAGTTGCAGCTCTTGGGTTGGCTGTCACACTTCCATAGATTTAGCCTGCAAGGAGACAAGAAGCTCAAATATCAAATAGACTTAGTTTACTACTTACGCAGACAGCAAAATGAAGATCAGCATGGAGTCAGTATCCCACATCCCTGGTACCTATGTATGTCCGTAGGACACTGGACCACAGAGGCTCTGTGACACATAAATAGAGGTCGCTCTGTTGTTTAAAGAGCCAACTCTAATGAACTCCAGCCAAGCAGTTTTATTCACCTACATCTGTGCATGGGGGTGAGGTGGAAATCCCATGCTTCACTAGAACCAGGGAGTTGGATAAGAAATTGCCTCACGGCAGCTTTCTGCAAGATAGGGAAGGAGATGATAAATGGCTTTGTCACAACTTCTCTAAGGCTGCCTACACCTGCCATCTTCCAGGGAGGATCACAGGGCTTTGTCAAGACTTAGGCTGGACTAGGGTTGAGTGTTGCTATGTAGATATGCAGTGAGCAAGCTCACCGGTCACCATGCTGAGGCATCATCCTACAGTTATCTTGGATTCCACTCCTTTTTTGCCCCCATATCTCACCCATTAGAAAACCTTCTTAATTCTACTTGTAAAGTTTATCAGCTCTGTATTGGTATCATCATTATCAGCCCAAGTCACACCATGTCCCAATGCAAGTATCACACATATACTCCTACCCTCTTATAATGCATTCTCTATACAGCAGCTAGAGGAATTTTTCAAAAATGCAAATCTGATCACTCTACTCTGGCTTACAAAAAGTCAGTGACTTTATACATCAAATAAGATTACCTCTTAACCATAGCCTATAAGGCCTTACATGATCTGGCCCTAAATACCCCTCAAATATCATCTCCTATGACTCTACTTCACAATGTTTCAGTCCCAGTAGTCTTTTCATTCTCAGAACATACCAAACTTTCTCCTTCACCTCATGAACTTTATATTTGCTGTTCCTTATGCTTATAACCTATGTCACCAGGCTTTTTACATGGCTGGTTCCTGCTCAACAATTAGGTCTCAGCTCAAATGTCATCTCCTCAGAGAAGACTCTCTTGACCTACCAAAAGCAGTCAGCTGGTCCCCAGCTATCCTGGATCCTATCATCTTGTATATTTCCTAATTGTGATCTGTGGTTTTCTTGTTTATATGTTTACTTGTTATTGTCTTGTCTCTCTCATCAGAATGTAGGCAAAAGAGCTTGGAGATTGCATGTCTTTTTACCACTATATCCCTAATGCCCTATCAGACACAGTAGACTCTCTAATATCTGCTGAATAAATAAATGTTGGGGCACCTGGGTGGCTCAGTCGGTTAAGTGTCCAACTTCGGCTCAGGTCATGATCTCACGGTTCGTGGGTTCAAGCTCCGCACTTGGCTCTGTGCTGACAGCTAGCTCAGAGCCTGGAGCCTGCTTCAGATTCTGTGTCTCCCTCTCTCTCTGACCCTCCCCTGTTCATGCTGTCTTTCTCTCTCTCTCAGAAATAAATAAAACATTAAAAATTTTTGAATAAATGCTGTTTCTAGTGTTTTTTAGTAAATGTATAAAACAAGAAAATTTATATCCTTTTCTTAGCAGCTAAAACAAACATTTTCAAGTTTAGTTCTATCCTGCTTTCCTAATTCACTCCTTTTTATCTTCATAGGAGATTTAATAAAATAATTATACCCCAGGAGTCATAATTATGTATTTTTATAGAGCAAAACTAGTAATAATCAAATAATTTATTATTTTTAAATGTAAAAATGTGTTTATTCACAATCCTTGAGAAGTTACCATTCCTTCAAAAAATTTTTATGAACAAAATGCCAAGAAAAATTACAATAGTAGCTTATGCCAAACCAAAAATATACATCTGATGTATACAAACTGTAAAAAGCATAACACAGGCAATGTGAATATAGATTACCTTTAAAATATTTCCAGTGACAAAGCTACAACTTAAATTATGTTAAGACAGTCATAAATAACAGCATTACCTAATATATTTACATATTTAAAGTGTCATATTTATTTCTATGAGATTAAAAAAAGATGAAACTATAGATGTCATTGCCTAGCAGTTCAAATATTGAAAGGGCCACATGATTTTGTTTTAGGTACAGCCAGAACTTTAAGTTACTATTTATAACTGGACCTTCCTATATTTTTGAGAACATGCACTGTCATTGCTGCAAGGAAAAAAAAAAAAACACACCAAGGAAAAATCAGAAAACAGTATGCTTCCTAAAATCATACTCAATCCTCAGCAAAATTAAGACAAGCAATTAGGGAGTGCTTATTATCGTTGGCCTTTCAAATTGATACATAAACTTTAGGGAAAAAAGAGCTCAATGCATAAAACAAAATGCATTTATATATACTGATATGCTTATTAGTTCCATCCCCTTAAAGCACCTTGTATTACAAGGCAAAGGAAAGCTTAATAAAATCAATGGATCCTTTCACACTGGAAAGGATTTTACTTTGAAATACCCGTATTGCCTTTTTAGGTTTTCCTTTCTTAATAAATCATGCACAGAGAATATGTCCTGTGTAAAATCTTTCTAAGATCATTCATTGGAAATATAGAATTTTTAAAAAAATGACACTTAGAAATTTAATATATCAATTAACTTAAAGTCAATATTCATTTATACTGGCAGCATGTAAAAGGAAGAGAAAAACCTAATTATATGTTTTTTCTTCAATATTACTTTTGATTACCAGCTTCAAGTGTCCTAACTCTGAAAGCTTATTGTAACATATTATCCTTTGTTCAGACTGAATGGACATTATTATAGTAGGATACGCAGTAAGTGTAGAGAGAAATGGATACTTCAGCCTTTCTTTAGGGTCATCTACTCAATTGTGCTTACTATTAGATAATAAAATTTAAATAAGCCGTAGGAGTAAATAATGCTGGAAACGGGAACTCTATTATAAATCTGATCTGGCAGTCCCTCCTCCTGCTCCCTTCACATCTGCTGAGAATTAACATAAAATGCCTTAATATTTTCACAGAGAGCTACTGAAATAGGCTTGCGAAAGCATTGAAAGTAAAGATAAAACTATTCTTTTAAGTGAAAACCTACAAATGGTAAATAGGAATGATATAAAGATGATTTAAAATAAATTTAATAACATGACAGAACCATTAAATTGTTTTTGAAAAGCAGAAGGCAGATGATGAAATTGCACTTAATTCTGAAGCAACTCAGAGATAGCCTACCATTTCTATTCCTTTTAATAAGCATTTACAATATGGTTTCCTATCTCCCTCTTACAAAAAGGCTCTGCACAACGATTTATACATTCTACTTGGTTTTTAAAATTTGGTCACAACTGATAAACAGGGTCACACAATTTTGCCTTATCGTTTCTGTTGATCTGCATCAGATTTTATGCCAGTATCAGACAGTTCTAACACAGGATTTACAAATCCGGAATACTCAGAATTGCCATTATCATCCACTTCGGCGCTAACAAAATCATTCTCCCACTCCAGCCCATTGGAATCATCAGAGGCTGATGTAGGATTACTTCCTGTCTTCTTGCTGCTGTACTTAAGTGCTGCTCGGAGAATGTCTTCCTCTGTTTTGGAACGTTCTCTCATCGGAAGCATGCGATTCATTCCTATTATTTGGATAGAGTTATTACAAATCTCAATGAAAATTTAAAAAGCTGTGTCAAAAGGCCAGTTAGTAATATAGTTTTTATTTGTTATTTACTTTATAACAAATCAGATTTGATTTGTTAATTAACCTCAAGAGTCAGTCCTATGGAGGCCTTGTTAAAAGGAAAGGTTTTTAATGGGCTCTCTTTCCTACCTGGTCTAGTTAATAAGTGTGTTAATGACTACAATAATAACCTCAAAAGTCATGTTATCTACAAATCTGATTAGCATACAGCATGGAAGACAGAATCTGGAATTGAAAGACTTTAAGCTTTAGATCAAACTTAAAAAGATGCTGCAACAAAAATAAATTTAAAGTCTGCTGCTTGGGACCCAGAAACAAAATAACAGAAGTACAGGATTGTGGAAAGTGTTTAGCTGAGAAGACTTAGGTAAGTTAAAGCAATCTTCAGTAAAGTTATTCAAGTCCCTTGTATCTTTGTTTCTTGTTAAAAGAAATAAATGGCTTGACTAGAGGACTAAGGTCCATTCCATCTCAAAATTCTATACAATACTTAATGCTTACTATTTTTCTTAAAGTCCTACATTCTAAAATTGGTTCTTCCTTTTTGTGGATTACCTAGTTCCTAAAATGAAAATGAAAATGGAAACTTGAGCTTTATTCAGTGAAATAGCCTTTTAAAAACTCCCACATTTTAGCTACAATTTTGAGTACTTACTATGTGCTATACCCTGTACTATTTTATATACATTTTATTTCATCCTCACAACATTCATAGGTTCCCATGTTCAAATATTTACTGACTGTTTATTATGTGCCCCATTTCATTTCATTTCATTTCATTTCATTTCATTTCATTTCATTTCATTTCATTCTTTATTTTTGTGCCAGGCAGTTTAGGCCTTGAGTATACAATGGTGAATAGTCATCCTTTAAAGTAGGTTTATTATTCACTTTTTATAATGAACAAACTGAAGCTCTATAGAGATTAAGAAATCTCTCGAAAGTACTAGAGCTAGGAAAACATACCAGCTAAAATCCAAACCCATGTCCAGGTTATAGCTTTTGTACTACACACACACAAAAAAACTCCTAACATTTATAATGAGCCAAAAGATAATAAAATTTTGGGTTTAGGTAGACCACAAGGGGGCAGTAATTCTTCTTACTGAGTAATCTAATACAGTTCATTAACATTTATTTTCTAAAGCTCAAGAAACACTAAGAATTAAGCAACTTTCTAAACCATTTATCAACAAATGATAATCACTAATATAGTAAGAGACTAAGAAATTTTCATATTGATTTTTCAAGGCCTTGCACTCCTTTCAGTTTAAAGCAAAATACCAAGCAGATTTCTATAAATTAACACAGATTAGAATTTTCAGGTAAAATTGTGAATATAAAATACCTTCTTCATCTTCCCACTCTAGATCTAGAGAAGTGCTGTCATCATTTCCACTAGTTGATTTAGTTTTGGTCATTAAATCACAACTGCTTTCTGTATTTGGTGTCAAAACTGTGGCATCTGATGAGAGTCCTAGAATATACACCAAATATAAGGTAGTCATTTGTACTCTTTTATCACCATTTATGTTGTAATATTATGTTTCTCCAAGTATTATTACTCCTTTTAGCATCATCAACAATTATTGAAATCATCACATTGGTAAGTTTCTATTAGGAACAATATAATGCTTTTTTCCCTTTCTTTTTATTTTTCTATTTTTTTTACCATGTAGCATGATAAACATGCAAATTTAAATGAATTATAAACTTTTCCAATACAATGGACTCTGGGTAATATCGTGCTAGTTAGTTACAAAGAGGAACAAAAAAAAATAAATGAACAAATAAAAATGAAAAGCAGTCCATGTTTTCAGCAGGAACTGCTTTTGGAGTTCCAACTTTTGAAACTTGGAGAAAAACATTTTAATTCTTATAAGTCAATTTGTAATAAGTAAGATAAGTATACTTTTGTAACTACCTTCCCTTTTTTCTGGGAGAGGGAGAGGTAGGACCAGAGTAGATATGGAAAAACAAGTGTTTGACTCTCCATCCAGACTGCAGCTATACCCTGAGATTTTTCTTTGCTCCAATTCCCTTTTGAAAAGGAAAGATAAAATTGTATAGTTCAGGACTAGTTAATTGATGTATCTGGGAAATACAATTTTATTTTATTTTATTTATTTATTTTTCAAGGCTTTTTTTTTATAGTTTATTGTCAAGTTGGTTTCCATGTAACACCTAGTGCTCATTCTGACAAGTGCCCTCCTCCATGCCTATCACCCATCTTCCCCTCTCCCCCACCCCCATCAACCTTCAGTTTGTTCTCAGTATTTAAGAGTCTCTCACGGTTTGCCTCCCTCCCTCTCCCCAACTATTTTTCCCCTTCTCCTCCCCCATGGTCCCCTGTTAAGTTTCTCCTAATCCTCCTATAAGTGAAAGCATATGGTATCTGTCTTTCTCTGCCTGACTTATTTCACTCAGCCTAACACCCTCAAGTTCCATCCATTTTGCTACAAATGGCCAGATTTCATTCTTTCTCATTGCCATGTAAGTATTCCATTGTATAGATTAACCACATCTTCTTGATCCATTTGTCCGTTAATGGACATTTAGGCTCTTTCCATGATTTGGCTATTGTTGAAAGTGCTGCTATGATCATTGGGGTACATGTGCCCCTATGCATCAGCACTCCTGTATCCCTTGGGTAAATTCCTAGCAGTGCTATTGCTGGGTCATAGGGGAGTTCTACTGTTGAATTTTTGAAGAACCTCCACACTTTTTTCCAGAGGGGCTGCACCAGTTTACATTCCCACTAACAGTGTAGGAGGGTGCCTGTTTCTCTACATACTTGCCAGCATCTATAGTCTACTGATTTGTTCATTTTAGCCACTCTGACCAGCATGAGGTGGTATCTCAGTATAGTTTTGATTTGTGGGAAATACAATTTTAAAGGGCAGGTAGTTCTTCTATAGAAACATAGCAAGGATCTCCATTTATCTGTTTATTGTGGCATAAAGTAAAATTAAAATGTATGCATATATTTTAAAAGACTTACTACTGCTTCGAAAGGCTTCATACTGTGACTTTACATTTCTTAAACAAGATTCAAAGTCATCTTCTGGTCCTGAACTGTAATAAAAGTAAAAGAATTTTTTAATATATTCATAGTAGATATAACACAATGTATACTTAAGTTAATGATGGCATTTTAGTTTGAAGATCTATCCCACACAAATTTATAATTACTACACAATTAAAATTAACCTAATGAAAGTTGGTCTGAATTTTCTGAATGCTAGCAATAAACTGAAAATAATGAGATTTTGGTTAATCTTGAAGTCAAAGCTTAGTCATAAGCCCAGTTTTATAATTTACAATAATGAAGCATGAACAAGGTTCTTTGAATGAGTGGAAAATACGACTTTGGAATGTGTCTTCTAAATATTGATCATACACAAACTGTGTTATAAGAAAAAGAGGGTGCTAAGGAAAACCCAAACAAGCATGGCATAAGCAATTTATCCAAAGGCATTTGATTACTGCACTGTTTTCTATATGAAAGATATGACTGTTCTTAAAAATGCAATGAAATCAATTTAAATAAATAATGAGCACTTTCCAATGTAAAGAAAGCAAATGTTCTCAGTATTCGTACGAAGTAGTGTCTCTATTTTTTAAGGAACACATAAATATGGTATATATACACACATCGAGAGATTAACTGTGTTCTCTTTGGGAATCACATTTCCTACTACAAAGGGAAGTATTATATTCCCCCATTTACCTTTGATATTCTCCGTTGTTTGAAGGATGGTATCGCTGTACAACTCTCTGCCTTTCTTGCTTTGGAAACATAATGCAATACAAAATCACTCTGTTGTAAAATTATATTTTAAAAAATCATTCATGTAACACCAAAACGTACTTTTTTCCTAGTTCCTAAAAAAAAACAAACTTAAAAAGTTATTCCATTGAAGTTTTTTTTTTTTTTAATGTATCACTGTTCATTTCTATATCCTCTTATTTATGGATAGAATTTCTATCCTTGTATAATCCTTGAGGGGTCAGAATATTTACAGTGTTATTAAAAATAACTTTTAAAACAGATATATATTGGTGTACCCAACATATACCAATATGTTGGTATACCTAAGAACTTACAATAACTGGAAGGATGAGGAGTAAGAAAAAAATAGTTAAAACAGTAGATGAGGTTCTATTCTGGCTGAAATAAATAGCAATAAAACAAAAGATCTAGAAGACCTGGTTGAGCTGACTCAGAAATAATAAAAACAAAGGATTTAGAAAACCTGTGAAGAGTTAGGGCTCTTGATAAACTTAACAAAACAAGTGGTGCTTGGACAGCTCAGTCTAGGTTAACTGTCTGAACTCTTGATTTTGGCTCAGGTCATGATGTCAGGATTTATGAGATCGAGCTCTGCATTCGGCTCTGCACTGACAGCATGGAGCCTGCTTGGGATTCTCTCTCTCTCTCTCTCTCTCTCAAAAATAGATAAACTTTGGTGGAAAAAAAGAGTTAGGGCTCTGACAGTTATTAGCTGTGTGTCCCTGGCATGTCTTTTACTTTCCGTTTTCTGTAAAGTATAGACAACTATAATACTGCCCTAGCACACTCATAATGCTATTGTGAAAATCAAATGGATTTGCATGTATTTGTGTATCTTTGTGTGCTAGTGTATGTTGTACAGACTGTTGTGTGTTTCTGGAAAACTCAGAGAACCCAAAGAGATGCTGCATATGGAATGTAATGCTTTTGTTTTTAAAAGGTGAGCAGTGGAAATTTTATTATAATAAAAAGAGTTTTCTAAATTATAGCCAGAAAAACATCTTTATTTCCTAGTAGGTGAATTAATTTTTAAACTTTTTCATGAGTTAGAACATACTGAAAAACAAAAACAAAACCCCACTCTCCCATATAATCTAATTAATCTGCTGAAACAGTTTAATAAAAAATGAGAGGGGAGTAGGAAGAGAAAGAGAGAGACAGAGAAAGAAAGGGTACAAGTCACATATAAATTCATGGCAATATGACACATGATTTTTCAGTTTCTCTGCTACAATAATTCTTATGTGACATGATCTTTGTACTACTTCAGTTAATATTACAGTACAGAGTTCACATAGGCAAAATACAGAGGAACATACTAAGTGGGATAACTGACCAAGCACTGCTGTGCTTGAACTGTGGCTCTACCATTTATTAACCACAGGATGACAAGCAGGTTACTTAACATCTCAGTCCCCTGGTTTCCTCATCTATTAAATGAGGATTGAAGATGCTACCTATCTCCAGGATTTTTGTCAGGATTAAACAAGATAAAACATGTAAATTAATTGACATGTTTCTGACACTTAGCCAGGGCTCCATAAATACCTGTTATTAATAGTGGTCTGGCATTTATGGTAATGCCATATTAGCATATAGCATGGTGAGATACAATTAATTATGTTGCCTTCTCTGATAATATGCCAAAGATTTCTCAAGACTCAAACTCCCAATCACCCAAAGACACAAGAATAAAGATGAGAAATATACAGTATCTGAAAATGAGGCAAACTGTCTAGCTTACCGGATTCAAAGAAGGAGATGAAATTCTAGCAGTTCAAGAAATTGTTTAAAAAATACTCAAAAAAATAAACTTAAAAAATGCAGAAATTATATTTAAAGAGTAGCTTTGCAATGTTTCCACCTAAGAGTGTATTTATTTTTTAAAAGAGTACCGGATTTTGGAAAACTATATTTCATCTTTGGGATAAACAAGAATTAGCTTTTGCTAAATTAAAGCTAAATAGCATTCAATATCAAGTATAAAATTGGATGCTATTTCTAGTTAGAGACAAACTAATTTGCCTTTAAAATTCCTAAGAATAGGGGTGCCTGGGTGGCTCAGTCGGTTAAGCATCTGACTCTTGATTTCAGTTCAGGTCATGATCTCATAGTTTGTGGGATGAAGCCCCACATTGGCCTTCTGTGCTGACAGTGCAGAGCCTGCTGGGGATTCTGCCTCTCTCTCTCTGCCCCTCCCCTGCTTGTGCACTCTCTCTCAAAATAAATAAATAAACCAGAAAATAAAAAATAAAAATGAAAATTCCTAAGAATATATGCATAAATACATTTGTTAAACAATAAGCCCTTGATTCTAGGGGGAGAAGAAGTCTCAACTGAGATTTGTCGGAGAAAATCAGGAGATGAGCAGCCCTACTATATGTTGGGGTCTTTCCCCCTCACCTCCAAGAGCTTTCGCTGCTTTGCTGCCCTGGCTGCTTCACGCTGTGCAGCGTATAAAGCTTCTTCTTCTAGTCTTAACTTCTCTTCTTGTAAGGCTAACTGTACATGAACAAAACAATAAGGATTAACAAAAACCAGAACCTGTCTGACTGCTCTAAAAATAAAGTGTTTGTTTGTAAAATTAAAAATAAATTATTAAAAAAATAAATGACCTCTACAAAGCATAACAGAATTGAAATTTTTGTGATTTCTCATTTCAATTTCTCCTATTACAAAATAATTCAAATGATATCAAAGATATTACAGAACTCTTTAGAAGCTGAATTATGAAGTAGTAGCATTTAATTTGCACAAATACAAAATTGTTTCTTTAGAATATATAGTGATCTTCATGCTCAACAATTGTTCCAATGCCTATCACTCTGACTAGTTTAATGGTTTTGGCTCTCATAAGCCTAAAGTCTTTAAACTAAGGCCAATCATATCACCATCTATCAAAGTGAAGTAAGCTTTCACAAAGTTCATGTCTCATTGATGCACATGTGTCCTGAATTTTATTACTACCAAGCTATTCAGAAATTACTTCCAAATTTAAATTCTTGCTATTCCTAATAGCATACAAACTGATTTAGTGATAATCCATTGCATGTCAAAACAAATTTAAAAATCAAATTTCAACAATTTTTTCTTTAGCTTAATATTAACATCTATTTGCATAGCTTAAATTAATGCTGTTGAAATCAAGTAATTGGTACTAAACAGGCTGTTCTTAAATGTATAATACAATGTGACTAATCTACTTACTGATTAGCAAAACTATAATTATAGGTCATTTCCATAAACACATTAAAATAAATATAACATTTAGGATTATAGTTTATGGTTTACTTACTAAGCATAAATAAATCCTTGACAAACAAAAAGACTTAAAACATACTTATTGTGAAATAGAGTAGTTTTTAAAAGTTTATTTTAAACACAAAAATACAAGTACCTTGTCAGAGTCTCTACTTGTGAATTAAAATGTTATTTTTTAGAAGAATGTATTATCTTCATTTTTGGCAGCATATGATTTCTTATCAATTAAATCAAAATAAAAGAAACTTTAATAGACTGGAACACTACCCTTTTACTTTTTGTTCTTCTTTTACTTTTATATAATTTTCATCTGTATAATATCTAAATATAGGTCCAGTGACTGTTCCTACTCACTATATTAATGACAACTTTCTCCATACTATAAACCAAGGCTTTATGAGAACATACACTTCAGCAACATAAAAGACTATTTACCTCTTTTTGAATTTTCATATCAAGATCTTTCTGTTTTTCAGCAATAGAATCATAATGCCTTTCTCTTAGGTTAACAATTTCTTCCTCAGTAAGAGGCCTACAGAGAAAAATGAGGGAGAAAAAGAAAGAAAAGAAAAAATACTTCTGATAAGTCCAAGTCCAAATAAAAAACTCATAAACCAGAGAAATACTAAAATTTTACTGTAAAATATGTATTAAAGCAATTTGATGCTATAATTTCAATTGGTAAGAGTAAAAAAGCATGCATTCTAACACTTGCTAAAATTTGATATATATGTTGAATAGCATGATATATTATCAGAGTATTTTTTAGCACCACAACCACTATTAAGAAATGTGGACTCCATTTACCTTCACTTTGGTTCTGCTTCAGCCATCTGACCATATCTCAAGATTTCACCATAAAGCATAGAGCTATGCTTTGACAGCTCTCTTACCATTCTGGGACTCGTAACTCTCATACCCACTACCCTCCTATTTATTCTGGCCAATCAGTCAGTCAATCTGGCCCTCAATCCTTCCCTTTTCTCCCAGTCTACCTATCCTGATTACCTAGCTACACTTCACATACAACCAAAGTGGACACCATGGCAAATCTAAAGTACTTTCTTACCAACATACTTACCTTCATGCATTCCTATCATAATACCTTATTCACCCAGCTTACTTTCTGACCTTGGTTCATTTCCATGATTAGCCCTTTCTCCTAAGAGCTGCTAGAGAAAACCTAACACCCAACTGGCTCTCAGCCTCCAGCAATAACTCTTTTCTTAGACATGAGCAACTACCTCTCACATCCTAAGCTAACTACTTCAAATCTTCAAGTACTCCTTAAGTTCTTCATTCAAACTCTCTTCTCTCAGAAGTTAATTTCACCCCACTCTGAAATCTGGGGATATCAACCTGCAATTCCTTCAGCTTCTTGCCCCTCCACCTCTTACTTAAGCCTATCATCTCTATTCTTCCCTCAATCCTCTGAAGAGGTGGCATTCCTTAACTTGTTCAAAGTCATCTGCTATACTTCTACTCTTGATTCACTCAACACTGATGCCACCCTCCCTCCCCCATCCCCAGGGCATTCCCTGGGACATTGCCCTATTAATTAGCACTTCTCTTTCAGCTTCACTCTACTCTTTATCTGTTTTTACCTCTCTTCCATGTGAAGGGAAGAGGGAAAGAAGAAGAAAAAAAAAAGAAGAAAAGAAAAAGGAAAAACCTTCATTTGACCTATATTTATTTCTAGCTACTGTTCCCTCCTTCCCATTTCAGCTAAAATTCATGAAACTAAATGTACACTGATAGCACATCTAGCACTTAATTTGTGTCAGGCCCTCTTCAATGTGCTTTATATATATTAACTAATTTTAATCCTTACACCAATATTATCAGGTAGAGATAGAGATGATACACATGAGGGAAATGAGATGAAGACAGATTATGTCTACCATGTTCTTTTAACTGTTTTTTGCCCACTGAGCCTTGGTTGTCTTCAGACTCTTCTTCTAGCGTCTGACTATGTAGTTCTCAGACCATTGCTCTTTCTCCACACTCCAACCACCCCACTTCCTCCTGGTCGCAATCTCGGGTTGGTGATCTTGATAATTATCATGGTTTTAACCACCAGTATAAGGTGGTATCTCCTACTTCTGTTCCTCTAGCCCTAACTTCTGCCCGTGGCTTTTTTTTATTTTAAGTTTTTTTTTTAGGTATAACATAAAATAAATGTTATTTCACTTAAAAGAGTTTTGACAATTGTATATACTCATATAACTGCCACACAAAGCAAGATACAAACAGATCGATCCCTCCACAAAATTCTCTTGTACCTCTTTTCTGCCAACCTACTTTGTTCATGCAATTTCTTCTGTCTGGAATGCTCTCTTCCTTGGGATAGTTATCACTAACTACACTTCCAGGATCGACATAAGTGGCATGTTCTTAAAGACACTTGTGGTCTACTTGAACACACCTCTTCTCACACATTTTGGGCATGTTTTCCCTGCATGTTTTATATCCTTTACATTTTCCCTGCATGTTTTATAACTGCTAATTAATCTCTTTCCCACCTTATGTTGAAATTAGTCATGTACACAAACTACTTCCTAGACCAGGATATTCTTTCTTCTAATAGAGAGAATCATGTTTGATTTTTTAATCCCACTGCCTAGCACAGTGCCACATGACAGTTGTCTATGTTTGCTAAACTAAAAAAAGATGAAGAACATGCATTTGAAATATGAAACAGTATATGAAAGTATTCTCTTGATATAAGAACTCTTGAGTTAAAGACAGATGGTTCTTTTTCAAGTAGCTCCTGTAATTTCAGAAGAACCTAAAGAGGCTGTTTAAATAACTGAGGTATTAAGGTTCTTGTTAACCTGATTAGTAAAACAAGTTTTAGAATGTCGCGAGGAAGAAAAAGAGGGATAATATTTTAAAAATTCAAGGAAATGTACTTATTAATATTAAATAGTTTTTTAAAAACTAAAAAATACATGACTCAGGTTCAATAGGTAAGCACTAGGCAATTATGTACATTAAATTCCTTAATGTTCAAAACAAGTTTGAGACATTATTATTTGCCTCAATCTTATAGAAAGAGAAAACTAAGGTCCTAATATGTAAACTGTCCAATCTCTCAAAGCGAGCAAATGACAGAGCCTCGATTCTTAGAGAGCTTCTTATGGTTCACACAGACATTGTATTAAAAAAAAAAAAAAAAAAAAAGAGCCTTACCTATGACTGCTTCCTGGGCTTTCACCCTGTATAAAAATTAAACAATTAAAGAAATTTCACTAGTTGAATTTCTATGCAAGGCAATGCAATACTATTTTTATTTAATCAAAATATTTCCTGCTTATCTATTTTTATCATGTAAATAAATTTTATTATTAAAAGTGTTTTAAACAAAAAGCTTTAAAATTTTACTACTTCTCAAAAGCAAAACTGCATATCTAGTTTAATTATACATTAACTAGTTATTGGACATCTTAATGTTTTTCTAAGAAATATAATATTCTATACCAAATGAACTTCTGGGGTCAGGATGGTATTAGACAATATACTTTCTATACCCTCTTCATTTACAGTTGACCTTCATTATTTGTAGCTTCCATATTTGCAAATTTAACTATAAGCTAAATTGTATTTTAACGTCAAAACTAATAATCCCTATACTTTTATGATCATGAACAGATTTTCACAGGGCAGCAAAAACTTCAAGTTGCTAGACAGGCACCTTCCCAGTAGAGACAGAACGTAGTGATGCTCTGCCTTCTAGTTTCAGTTCTCATACTGTCCTCTTTACAGTCTATTGAGTCCCATATTTTTGCATGTTTGTGTATTGTTGGTGATTTCACTGTGTAGGGTTGAAGTGCTGTCTGATCTTCCTAGTCACGTGAAGGCTGTGGCAAGCCCCGTGGAAAAACTGTGTGTGTTGGATAGGCTTCTGTTCAGACATGATTTACACTGCTATTGTCCATGAGTTCAAAGTTAATGAATCAATAATATAGATTAAAATAAGGTGTAAAGCAGAAACCTAAAACAAGGTAATTTACTGACTGGGTGATGAAAATGTTGTGACTAGAAGCTTACAGGAATCTAACTCTCTATTTTCCCTAAGAGTAATGTTCCAGTTGGTAGTCAATAATTCAGCATTTATGGCAACTTTATAGGGTATAACTACCACAAATGATGAGAATCTATTGTTTTTGGGGTTTTTATCACATGGTTATGAAACTGCCTATAGTTTTTTTTCCCTTCAAAGTAAACCATTATTACTTACAAGGCTGATTTGAATTTATGCATCTTTCTTATACACTTAAGGTATTCACATGTGATAGTTAAAATATATGGCCAACTGACAACAGGAATAAAACTCCAACTGATAGGAAACAGCAGCACAAAACAGGGTGATGTTCAACTAAACCAAACACAAAATATGATGCAGGAGACGAAAAGACCAGTTAGTAAAACAAAAGCAAACAAAAACTCAACCAAACAAAAAGCACCTTAGGAAAACACATGGAACCACATTCTTTTAACAAGCAGTATGATACAAAAAAGGTTGAAAGGACTCTTACATTTAGCACTTAAAGTTTAGAAACTTTAAAAACATTAAGTGTTTGCTTACACTTATTTTAAAAAAATAACATGGAATTAAAATGACTTGAAATGGGAAAGAAACTAGGTTCTATGAAACATAAAAATATTTGGGAGAAATTTTACTAGGAAACAAAAGGCTATGCTAGTTTCCCAAATGTGTTCTATCGGATGATAATAAATACGTATCATTTTCTGAGAAAAGGAAGTATACCCAATTAATTTGGGAAATGGTGAGTTGAATTGGTTTAAATAATTTTCTTAACAGTTCTCTAACAGCTTCTTTAACAGTCTGTCTCGGAACCTTTACCATATTAATTTACATTCTGAGTATTCCATACACGCTGGGAAATGTTGGGCTAAAAAATAATTTAAATTTAGTTTGATACATTTTCCTCTTTCCTTAGAAACAAAAAGTGATAAAAGGTCAGCTCACAGAGTTCTTGTAGTAGAACTCATTTTAGAGTTGTGTAAAGTTTGCCCAAGGGGGGTTTAGTAACTTGCACAAACTCATACAATTAGTTTAGTGAAACTTAAGTTTAGCTCATAAACTAAAACTCTTCTAACTATAACCAGTGCATAAGAAATATACACCACAGTTCACCAATTCTACACTGTATTTTTTTTTTCATATTTTCACACTTCTACACTTGGAATGCCTCTTAAATTTAAGTTTTAGATGAGACGAAATGCAAAATGGCTAAAGTCAGAAAGTGATTATAGAATGGGCATGTATAAATTCTACCCTCAGAAATCTATGAAAACTATGGTTAAAGAATGGATCTATCTTGGGTTGTTGAGAAATTTTACCTACCTAATGGCAAGAGGTTAGAAATATCCTTTTAAAAGTTCCTTAAGTTCTATAGCATGCTTTAAAATATGATATATGTTTATATATTTAAAATACATGAAACCAACATATAAAAGTATATATAATAATACCACATAATAGCATTATATGTTATATATGAGAAAACTCTGAATGATATCATCATATCAATGATATGATAATATAAATTAGTAAAAGGACATAATTAGGGACTAAGAAGTAAAAATAAAAACCAAAAATCAAAAATCCTAAAAGACAATAAAATAAAATTTTTAAAATAAAAGCTAAGACTAACATGATGATTCAGGAGAACAAATACTGGTTTTGTACTGTAGAAATACTTACTTCATCACTTTCTACTAGATTCTCAAACTGAAAGAACAAGAAAGCAACTGTTAGGGAGGGATATTTGTCTCAGGTATATATCTCAAAAAAATGGTCACTTTTTGGGGCGCCTAGGTGGCTTAATCGGTTAAGCGTCCGACTTTCGCTTAGGTCATGATCTCGCGGTTCGTGGGTTCGAGCCCCGCGTCGGGCTCTGTGCTGACTGCCAGCTCAGAGCCTGCAGCCTGTTTCAGAGTCTGTATCTCCCTCTCTCTCTGACCCTCCCCTGCTCACACTGTCTCTCTCTGTCTCTCTCCTAGAAATAAATAAAATATTAAAAAAAAAATGGTCACTTTTTCACTTCAAAAATAATACACCTTTATACTTTTAAGATCTTTGAGTCATATGTCCCTTATACACTGTTCATTCAACAGTCCTACAAGATAGCCAAAATAAGTATATACTGTTATTTATGATTTTATATGAAAAAAGGAGAATTATAGCAATTTCCTTCATAAATCAGAAACTTTTTAAAACTTATAAACTATTTTTCACCTGAATTATTTTATATGGTTGTTTTAAACCCACACTACCAGAATTTTCTCCTTGAATTTAAAAAAAAAACTAGTCATAAGAAGGAGAATTTACTCAAGAAATAGGGACTTAAAAGATGCCCAATTAAGGATTTGTCTTATAATGTTTATATTTATTCATCTATTCATTAACTATTTACTGAAAATCTACCAAATGGTAGTCGGTGCTCCCAAATACAGTGTCTTTCTACAGATAGAAAGGTAAACAATTTGATGATGATGTGATGAACAGTATTATGTCTAATGACTAAATGAAAGTCATTACTACTAAATTATATTACTAAAATATTTGTATTTTAAATATAAATAATTTGATAACCACCAAAAGAAAAGTTTTATTGTTAACACTGTTTATTAAAGATCAAGAAAACAATGCATTTAAAAGGTTTAGAAAGACAAGAATTTAAAGAAGTGACTTAACCTGTTTAAAATTATTATCTTGAATTTCTTTTTTTTTCGGTTTGTGATTTTTTTAAAAAACTAATTTCTGATTTACTTGCTTCCTTATTTAATATAGAAGGCAGTGAAGTACAGTGTTCAAACTTTGAAGCTCGGCAGTTTGGGAATGGATTTAGGTTTTGCCATTTATAGGCTGGGTAACAAAGTCCAATTTCTTCACCTGTCTAAGCCTCTAATTCTCATCCATAAAATGGGATGACTGCCACTCATTCAACAGAACTGCATTTAGAATAATGAGTGATGAAATTTATAAACTGTATGGTGGAGTAGGTGGTACATAGTAGGGCCTCAGTACATTCTATTATTATATTTTACACACAAAGAATAAGCAAATCAGTGATTCATCCTGTGTAGTTGCTTAAAGTCTGCTTTCTGCTTTGATCCTACTACACCTCTCCACGAAGGGGGGTGGAGGGGCAGGCCAACCATCTATCTCTAGAATCACCACCTACTGAGCCATGTAACTACTACCAGAGTACCCTCTCTTTGAATTATGCTGAGTGAAAAAAAAGACAAAAAATCAAAAACACTACTTCTTAGAAACAGCAATTCTATTAGAAGAATAGGACCTTAATCTTCTGCAAACTTCTCTTTATTCACCACTCCCCTCCCCACACCAATTCTTTTCCTCTTCATTGGCATCAGTGATATTGAAATATAACAAGTCCATACTAAGTTTAGGACCCTTTATGAAAAGAAAAATATCCCTCCTGCCTTCCTAATGGTATTTTTATTCAATTAGATTCATGACTCTACTTACCTCTATAGTTAAGTGCTCACCTCTTGAGCATGTTCTAAAATACTTGGATCTGGGAAGAAAAATAGGAAAACTTTAAAAATCACAATTAATACTAAAACTGAGCCAATATAGTAGCATAAAAACATTTCCATAAAAATATTTCCCGTATTTTCAAACTTAGTTATGAGTTTAAAAGTGTCAAACCAATGTTTTTCTACTGACACTAATATTTACTCAACCAGTAATAATAAATTATTTATTGTATTTACTACCTAGAACAGAATGCAATTAAATTTTAAAACTCATCTCATTGTTTTTACTGTATCAGGAAAGTATGTTAAAATACTGATGTGTTAAATAATATATTACAGTGTGTCTCCAATTTTCTAACACATAGGCAAAACAATGTAAATCTGAAAAGATATATGCCAATATGCTAAGAGTGGTTATCTCTGGACTGTGGAATCCCATGTTTATACAAAGCTAGGTGCTTTTTATTCTTTCTATGCCCTTATAAATTTTAATCATTCTCTTCTTCTCCTATGTGAAATTTACATGTAATCAAATAAGAATCCCCTTTGCTATATCTGTTCCAAGAACATGTCCATACTCTATTAACTATGTTTCTGTCCTCTATTATAGTATGAAAATCGGTATAGGGCAGAGGCGCTCAAACTTCTTCACTACTGGAGGTGCCAGATTATGACTTTCACTTAGAATGTAGTTAGTGTTATAGCTGCTTAAAATGATGGAGGAAAGGAGGAGAGGGCAAGATGGCGGAGAAGTAAGGAGCTCCGTACTTGCACTCGCGACCATACATCACACAGAAAAGATCTGAAGACATTGGAAACCTTACAAAACCTGAGAGATTGGGAGAAAAAGGACGCAGAATCCACTGATATAGCCTTCTAATGTGAGTGCGAACCTGGGAAGATAAAATTGGGCTGGGATCGGAGACTCCAGGGTGGGAGGCGTTCCCCCTCTACCCTCTACGGGGAGTGAGAGGAGAAAAGGAGAGAGTCCGAAACAGAAAAACCTCCACACGGGGGAGAAAAACCTCCGTTGGAAAGACCGTACTTGCCAAATACCTGCACACCAGGTCCCCTCGCGCCAACTGGTCCTGGAGGGGGCTGAGCACACA